AGCCCAGTTCAGTCCAGCTCAGCCCAGTTCAACCCAGCTCAGCTCAGTCCAGCCCAGCTCAGCTCAGCTCAGCCCATCCCAGCCCAGCCCAGCTCAGCCCATCCCAGCCGAGCTCAGCCCAGCTCAGCTCCCCAGCTCAGCTCAGCCCAGCTCAGCCCAGCTCAGCCCAGCTCAACCCAGCTCAGCCCAGCTCAGCTCAGCTCAGCCCAGCTCAGCCCAGCCCAGCTCAGCCCAGCTCAGCTCAGCTCAGCCCAGCTCAGCCCAGTTCAGCCCAGCTCAGCCCAGTTCATCCCAGTTCAACCCAGCTCAGCTCAGCTAAGCCCAGTTCAGCTCAGCTCAGCCCAGCCCAGCCCAGTTCAGCCCAGTTCAACCCTGTTCAGCCCAGCTCAGCTCAGCTAAGCCCAGTTCAGCCCCGTTCAACCCAGCTCAGCCCAGTTCAATGCAGCTCAGCCCAGTTCAGCCCATTCTACCCAGCCCAGCTCAGCACAGCCGAGCTCAGCCCAGCTCAGCCCAGCTCAGCTCAGCTCAGCTCAGCCCAGCTCAGCTCAGCTCAGCCCAGCCCAGCCCAGCCCATGTGTACAGCACCCTGATCTGTGTCTTCTGGGTCGATGGCCGTCTGCCTTTCTCCTTCTTGTCTCTGTATTGGTACCTGTCCTCCGTCCTCCCGCCCCAGGAGGCTGTGGAGGAGATGAGGCCTGATCAGCTTCTGGGACCCACCTGCTCAAGGTTGCCGGCAGGTCCAACACGGCTGGGAGAGGCCCACGCCTTTTGGCTGTGTGGCCATGCCCTGCTGGTCCCTGTGCCAACCTGCCCAGAGGCGCTGGAGTGGGGAGGGAGAACGAGGCCTCGTCCAGGCCCGCTGATGGCCGTATGGTCTCAGCCGACCCCTGCCCCGCTCTGGGCCATTTGCGCTGTGAGGTGAGGCCGATGCTGGGAAGGGGCTGCGTGATGGTGTCTGGCCCACAGCTGGGGGTCACTCACCCACTTCCTGTCCCGCCAGTTGTGGCCGCGTGCCTCCACGTCATGTCTGGTCTGTGGTCTGGCTGTGGCGGTACCAGGTGTGTGTGGCCTGGGCTGTGGGACCCCCAGGAGCCTGGCCCTGGCCTGAGGCCCTGTGTGTGCAGGCGAGTGCCGTGGTGGGGTGTGTCTCCACGGGGCGCCCACGGGGCTGGGCTGGTGGCCGAGGTGCAGAGAAGCAGAGGCCGAAGTAGACAGAGTCAGGGGCTTAGGGTGCCTGAGGGAGAAATAGTCCCCGAGGTGCGGGTGAAGTGAGGGCCGCAGGGGAGGCTTCACAGGCCGGCAGGGGCGGAAGCCCCAAGGGACAGCCTCGCCAGAGTGACCGCAGTGAGCAGGCCCCATAGACCTTCAGGCCACAGGGCGGCTGTGAGGGTGGGGGGAGCCACCCCCTCCTCCACCAGCCTCAGCAGCAGTGGGGCCCTTGACTGAAGCTGGACAGGGGGTGTGGGCCCCCCCCACGTGGAGCCTGGAGTCCTGTGGGTCGGGGTGGCTGAGGGCCTGCCCCTGCCTGCATCCACCCAATTCCCTGCCTGGGGTTCTCCCACCCATGGGCCCTGCCGGCTGCCCAGTTGCTCGGCCCTCCCTGGTGCCCCTCAGGAGGTGGTCCCTGCCCGGGCACACGAGGGGCCGTGGGGCCTGCACCTGCTTTTACATGTTCATTCATTTCTTCACACCCAGAAGGTTCTGGAGCTACACATAGGCACCTGTGGTCCCCTCCCGGGAAGGACACCATTGCGGGGAGAGCTGCAGGCAGGTGGAGGGGGGGAGATCAGCATTTCCCTGGGGGTGGGGTGGGCCCAGGAAGGGAGTTGGGGCAGGTGGGCTGGGAGGGGGAGATGGAGGAAGGGGGGCCTGGGGCAGGGCACCAGGTGGGCAGACACACCTGGCTCGGTCAAGGGACTTCTGGGGTTTTATCACAGACCCTGGCACACTCACAGCATCGCCCACGAGGGGCACTTCCTCCTCGGCTGCTGGACTCTGGTCCACCCCACACCCGCCGCTCTCACGAGCACCAGCGGCTCCTGCATCGTGGTTGATTGGCTCTGAGGATCCTTCCTCTTGCCGGCCCGTGAGGTCCTGGGGCCCTGCCCCTTCCGGGGGTCTGAAGCCCCAGTGTCCCCTGGAGCCGCCCCGAGGGAGCTGGAGGCGTGGGACTCGGGGTGAGTGCTGGGACAGTGCCTGGCGGGAGCGGAGGAAGCAGAGGGCGGTGTGGGGCCGGAGGCTGCTCTCTCCTGAGGCCGGTGTCCCCCACGCAGACATCACTGCCCTGCTGTGGGCACAGACGGGTGTGCAATGCGGGGCAGAAAGAAGAGCTTGGACTTGAGGCGGATGGGTGTGGGGTCTTGCACGACCTGACGGTCGCAGCGGTTGGGGGAAGGGCCTGAGCCTGAGTGGACACTCTTGTTAAGACCGATGAGCACCTCTGGGAGTCAGGGACTTGCCGAGCGCGGGTCCAGTTGGGAGGGAAGAGCCGGGACGGGGCGAGTCCTCCCCGGGCTTCTTCGGAAGGAGGAGGGGCCTCGGCTTGGCCAAGGCCGACTGGCTGGTGGTGAGCGTCCTGGGGCCGCGACGAAGGACCTCACACTGAGGGGCTTGAACCAACAGAAATTCAGTCTCGCACTCTGCAGCCAGACGCCCGAGATCCAGGTGTCCCAGGGCCCTGCTCCCGTCAGCAGCTTCAGGGGAGGGTCCTTCCTGCCCCCAGCCTCTGGTGGCCCCAGGTGTCCCAGGCATCACCCAATCTCTGCCTCTGCCCTCATATGACCTCCTGCCCTGAGTCTGATCTCTCCTCCTCTGTCCCTTGTAAGGACGCTTCTCACTGGATTTAGGGCCACCTGGGCAATCTCATCTTAAGATCCTTAACTTCAATCACATATGCAAAGACCCTTTGTCTGAACAGGATCACCTTCACGGGTTCCAGGGCTTAGGACGTGGACATAACTTCTGGGCCTGGGGGCACCATTCCGCCCTCTGTGGTGGGCTGATGAAGAAGAAAGAGGAGGAGGGGCGGAGGGGAGCCCGAGAAGGTGGGGTCCTGCTGCTGGGAGGGCGCATGCGGCAGGGCTGCTGGGAGGACGCGTGCGGCATGGCTGCTGGCTCTGGAGCCCGGCTGGCTGGCTGGGATGCATCCTGCTTTTCTCTACGGGCCTGCTCTTGGGCTGTGCTCCCACTGTGCCAGCCCCTCTAGGTGGGGTGACTGCCACTGTTCTCGGAGAGACAGAAGTGAGCGGTCCTGAAGTGGGATCTTAGTTCCCTGCCCAGG